TCTGACTTTTGGCAATTCAATCAAAATAGGTGCCAAAGGGTTGCAAATGCTCCCCTGAGTGGTTTGGCGGTAGAAACAGAAGGCTTTTTATCACAGGAAAAGAAATCAGCCCTCAACAACTGAACCGGCAGAAAAGATTTTTTGAAAAAATCCCTCAGCCCCGGGTCACAATTTCATCAAAATCTGACTTTTGGCAATTCAATCAAAAATGGTGCCAAATGGTGGCAAATGCTCCCCTGAGAGGTTTGGAGGTCGAAACAGAAGGCCTTTTATCACAGGAAAAGAAATCAGCCCTCAACAACTGAACCGGCAGAAAAAGATTTTTTTGAAACAATCCCTAAGCCCCGGGGTCACAATTTCATCAAAAATCTGACTTTTGGCAATTCACTCCAAAATGGTGCCAAAGGGTTGCAAATGCTCCCCTGAGAGGTTTGGCGTTCGAAACAGAAGGCTTTTTATCACATGAAAAGAAATCAGCCCTAGACAACTTACCCGTCAGAAAAAGATTTTTTGAAAAATCCCTAAGCCCCGGGTCACAATTTCATCAAAAATCTGACTTTCGGCAATTCACTCCAAAATGGTGCCAAAGGGTTGCAAATGCTCCCCTGAGAGGTTTGGCGGTCGAAACAGAAGGCTTTAGAGCACAGGAAAAGAAATCAGCCCTCGACAACTGAACCGGCAGAAAAAGATTTTTTTGAAAAAATCCCTAAGCCCCGGGGTCACAATTTCAGCAAAAATCTGACTTTTGGCAATTCAATCAAAAATGGTGCCAAAGGGTTGCAAATTCTCCCCTGAGAGGTTTGGCGGTCGAAACAGAAGGCCTTTTATCACAGAAATAGACATCGGCCCTCGACAACTTAACCAGCAGAAAAAGATTTTTTTGAAAAAATCCCTAAGCCCCGGGGTCACAATTTCAGCAACAATCTGACTTTCGGCAATTCAATAAAAAATGGTGCCAAAGGGTTGCAAATGCTCCCCTGAGAGGTTTGGCGGTCGAAACAGAAGGCTTTTTATCACATGAAAAGAAATCAGCCCTCGACAACTGAACCGGCAGAAAAGATTTTTTGAAACAATCCCTAAGCCCCGGAGTCACAATTTCAGCAAAAATCTGACTTTTGGCAATTCAATCAAAAATGGTGCCAAAGGATTGCAAATGCTCCCTTGAGAGGTTTGGCGGTCGAAACAGAAGGCCTTTTATCACAGAAATAGAAATCGGCCCTCGACAACTTAACCAGCAGAAAAGATTTTTTTAAAAATCCCTAAGCCCCGAGGTCACAATTTCATCAAAAATCTGACTTTTGGCAATTCAATCAAAATGGTGCCAAAGGGTGGCAAATGCTCCCCTGAGAGGTTTGGCGGTCGAAACAGAAGGCCTTTTATCACAGGAAAAGAAATCAGCCCTCGACAACTGAACCGGCAGAAAAGATTTTTTGAAAAAATCCCTAAGCCCCGGGTCACAATTTCATCAAAAATCTGACTTTTGGCAATTCACTCAAAAATGGTCCCAAACGGTTGCAAATGCTCCCTGAGATGTTTGGTGGTCGAAAGAGAAAGCTTTTTATCACAGAAAACGAAATCAGCCCTCGACAACTTAACCGGCAGAAAAAGATTTTTTTGAAAAAATACCTAAGCCCCGGGGTCGCAATTTCATCAGAAATCTGACTTTCGGCAATTCAATCAAATTGGTGTCACAGGGTTGCAAGTGCTCCCCTGAGAGGTTTGGCGGTCGAAACAGAAGGCATTTTATCACAGGACAAGAAATCAGCCCTCGACAACTGAACCGGCAGAAAAGATTTTTTGAAAAAATCCCTAAGCCCCGGGTCACAATTTCAGCAAAAATCTGACATTTGGCAGTTCACTCAAAAATGATGCCAAAGGGTTGCAAATGCTCCCTGAGAGGTTTGGCGGTCGAAACAGAAGGCTTTTATCACATGAAAAGAAATCAGCCCTAGACAACTGAACCGGCAGAAAAAGATTTTTTGAAAAAATCCCTAAGCCCCGGGTCACAATTTCAGCAAAAATCTGACTTTTGGCAATTCAATCAAAAATGGTGCCAAAGGGTTGCAAACTCTCCCCTGAGAGGTTTGGCGGTCGAAACAGAAGTCATTTTATCACATGAAAAGAAATCAGCCCTCGACAACTTAACCGTCATAAAAGATTTTTTTGAAAAAATCCCTAAGCCCCGGGGTCACAATTTCATCAAAAATCTGACTTTTGGCAATTCAATCAAAAATGGTGCCAAAGGGTTGCAAATGTTCCCCTGAGAGGTTTGGCGGTCGAAACAGAAGGCCTTTTATCACAGGAAAAGAAATCAGCCCTAGACAACTCAACCGTCAGAATAAGATTTTTTTGATAAATTTCCTAAGCCCCGGGGTCACAATTTCAGCAAAAATCTGACTTTCGGGAATTCACTCAAAAATGGTGCCAAACGGTTGCAAATGCTCCCCTGAGATGTTTGGTGGTCGAAACAGAAAGCTTTTTATCACAGAAATGGAAATCAGCCCTCGACAACTTAACCGGCAGAAAAAGATTTTTTTGAAAAAATACCTAAGCCCCGGGTTCGCAATTTCATCAGAAATCTGACTTTCGGCTATTCAATCAAAAATGGTGCCAACGGGTTGCAAATGCTCCCTGAGAGGTTTGGCGGTCGAAACAGAAGACTTTTATCACAGGAAAAGAAATCAGCCCTTGACAACTTAACCGGCAGAAGAAGATTTTTTTGAAAAAATCCCTAAGCCCCGGGGTCACAATTTCATCAAAAATCTGACTTTCGGCAACTCACTCAAAAATGGTGCTAAAGGGTTGCAAATGCTCCCCTGAGAGGTTTGGCAGTCGAAACAGAAGGCCTTTTATCACAGGAAAAGAAATCAGCCCTCGACAGCTGAACCGGCAGAAAAAGATTTTTTTGAAAAAATCCCTAAGCCCCGGGGTCACAATTTCATCAAAAATCTGACTGTTGGCAACTCACGCAAAAATGGTGCCAAACGGTTGCAAATGCTCCCTGAGATGTTTGGTGGTCGAAACAGAAAGCTTTTATCACAGAAAAGGAAATCAGCCCTCGACAACTTAACCGGCAGAAAAGATTTTTTGAAAAAATCCCTAAGCCCCGGGTCACAATTTCATCAAAAATCTGACTTTCGGCAATTCACTCCAAAATGGTGCCAAAGGGTTGCAAATGCTCCCTGAGAGGTTTGGCGGTCCAAACAGAAGGCTTTTTATCACAGGAAAAGAAATCAGCCCTCGACAACTGAACCGGCAGAAAAGATTTTTTGAAAAATCCCTACGCCCCGGGGCCACACCGTCAGCAAAAATCTGACTTTTGGCAATTCACTCAAAAATGGTGCCAAAGGGTTGCAAATGCTCCTCTGAGAGGTTTGGGGGTCGAAAGAGAAGGCCTTCTATCACAGAAATAGACATCAGCCCTCGACAACTTAACCAGCAGAAAAAGATTTTTTGAAAAAATCCCTAAGCCCCGGGTCACAACTTCAGCAAAAATCTTACTTTTGGCAATTCAATCAAAAATGGTGCCAAAGGGTTGCAAATTCTCCCCTGAGAGGTTTGGCGGTCGAAACAGAAGGCTTTTTATCACATGAAAAGAAATCAGCCCTCGACAACTGAACCGGCAGAAAAAGATTTTTTTGAAACAATACCTAAGCCCCGGAGTCACAATTTCAGCAAAAATCTGACTTTTGGCAATTCAATCAAAAATGGTGCCAAAGGATTGCAAATGCTCCCCTGAGAGGTTTGGCGGTCGAAACAGAAGGCCTTTTATCACAGAAATAGAACTCGGCCCTCGACAACTTCACCAGCAGAAAAAGATTATTTTTCAAAAAATCCCTAAGCCCCGGGGTCACAATTTCATCAAAAATTTGACTTTTGGCAATTCAATCAAAAATGGTGCCAAAGGGTGGCAAATGCTCCCTGAGCTGTTTGGCGGTCGAAACAGAAGGCCTTTTATCACAGGAAAAGAAATCAGCCCTCGACAATTGAACCGGCAGAAAAAGATTTTTTTGAAAAAATCCCTAAGCCCCGGGGTCACAATTTCATCAAAAATCTGACTTTTGGCAATTCACTCAAAAATGGTCCCAAACGGTTGCAAATGCTCCCCTGAGATGTTTGGTGGTCGAAAGAGAAAGCTTTTTATCACAGAAAACGAAATCAGCCCTCGACAACTTAACCAGCAGAAAAAGATTTTTTTGAAAAAATACCTAAGCCCCGGGGTCGCAATTTCATCAGAAATCTGACTTTCGGCAATTCAATCAAAAATGGTGTCACAGGGTTGCAAGTGCTCCCCTGAGAGGTTTGGCGGTCGAAACAGAAGGCTTTTTATCACAGGAAAAGAAATCAGCCCTCGACAACTGAACCGGCAGAAAAAGATATTTTTGAAAATACCTAAGCCCCGGGGTCACAATTTCAGCAAAAGTCTGACATTTGGCAGTTCACTCAAAAATGATGCCAAAGGGTTGCAAATGCTCCCTGAGAGGTTTGGCGGTCGAAACAGAAGGCTTTTATCACATGAAAAGAAATCAGCCCTAGACAACTGAACCGGCAGAAAAAGATTTTTGAAAAAATCCCTAAGCCCCGGGTCACAATGTCAGCAACAATCTGACTTTTGGCAATTCAATCAAAAATGGTGCCAAAGGGTTGCAAATGCTCCCCTGAGAGGTTTGGCGGTCGAAACAGAAGTCCTTTTATCACAGGAAAAGAAATCAGCCCTCGACAACTTAACCGGCAGAAAAAGATTTTTTTTGAAAAAATCCCTAAGCCCCGGGGTCACAATTTCATCAAAAATCTGACTTTTGGCAATTCAATCAAAAATGGTGCCAAAGGGTTGCAAATGTTCCCCTGAGAGGTTTGGCGGTCGAAACAGAAGGCCTTTTATCACAGGAAAAGAAATCAGCCCTAGACAACTGAACCGGCAGAAAAAGATTTTTTTGAAAAATTCCTAAGCCCCGGGTCACAATTTCAGCAAAAATCTGACTTTCGGAATTCACTCAAAAATGGTGCCAAACGGTTGCAAATGCTCCCCTGAGATGTTTGGTGGTCGAAACAGAAAGCTTTTTATCACAGAAATGGAAATCAGCCCTCGACAACTTAACCGGCAGAAAAAGATTTTTTTGAAAAAATACCTAAGCCCGGGTTCGCAATTTCATCAGAAATCTGACTTTCGGCTATTCAATCAAAATGGTGCCAACGGGTTGCAAATGCTCCCCGGAGAGTTTTGGCGGTCCAAACAGAAGACTTTTATCACAGGAAAAGAAATCAGCCCTCGACAACTGAACCGGCAGAAAAGATTTTTTGAAAAAATCCCTAAGCCCCGGGTCGCAATTTCATCAAAAATCTGACTTTCGGCAATTCACTCAAAAATGGTACCAAAGGGTTGCAACTGCTCCCCTGAGAGGTTTGGCAGTCGAAACAGAAGGCCTTTTATCACAGAAATAGAAATCGGCCCTCGACAACTGAACCAGCAGAAAAAGATTTTTATGAAAAAATCCCTAAGCCCCGGGGTCACAATTTCAGCAAAAATCTGACTTTCGGGAATTCACTCAAAAATGGTGCCAAACGGTTGCAAATGCTCCCCTGAGATGTTTGGTGGTCGAAAGAGAAAGCTTTTTATCACAGAAAACGAAATTAGCCCTCGACAACTTAACCAGCAGAAAAGATTTTTTGAAAAAATCCCTAAGCCCTGGGGTCACAATTTCAGCAAAAATCTGACTTTCGGCAATTCACTCAAAAATGGTGCCAAACGGTTGCAAATGCTCCCTGAGAGGTTTGGCGGTCGAAACAGAAGGCTTTTATCACAGGAAAAGAAATCAGCCCTCGACAACTGAACCGGCAGAAAAGATTTTTTGAAACAATCCCTAAGCCCCGGGTTCACAAGTCCATCCAAAATCGGACGTTCGGCACTTCACCCCAATTGGGTGCCAAACCTTTGCAAATGCTCCCCTGAGAGGTTTGGCGGTCGAAACAGAAGGATTTTTAAAACAGTACAAGAAATCAGCCCTCTACAAATAAAACGGCAAAAAAGATTTTTTTTAAAAAATCCCTAAGCCCCGGGGTCACAATTTCATCAAAAATCTGACTTTCGGCAATTCACTCAAAAATGGTGCCAAAGGGTTGCAAATGCTCCCCTGAGATGTTTGGTGGTCGAAAGAGAAAGATTTTTATCACAGAAAACGAAATCAGCCCTCGACAACTTAACCAGCAGAAAAAGATTTTTTTGATAAAATCCCTAAGCCCCGGGGTCACAATTTCATCAAAAATCTGACTTTTGGCAATTCAATCAAAAATGGTGCCAAAGGGTTGCAAATGCTCCCCTGAGAGGTTTGGCGGTCGAAACAGAAGGCTTTTTATCACATGAAAAGAAATCAGCCCTAGACAACTTAACCGGCAGAAAAAGATTTTTTGAAAAAATCCCTAAGCCCCGGGGTCACAATTTCATCAAAAATCTGACTTTCGGCAATTCACTCCAATATGGTTCCAAAGGGTTGCAAATGCTCCCCTGAGAGGTTTGGCGGTCCAAACAGAAGGCTTTTTATCACAGGAAAAGAAATCAGCCCTCGACAACTGAACCGGCAGAAAAAGATTTTTTCAAAAAATCCCTAAGCCCCGGGGTCACAATTTCAGCAAAAATCTGACTTTTGGCAATTCAATCAAAAATGGTGCCAAAGGGTTGCAAATTCTCCCCTGAGAGGTTTGGCGGTCGAAACAGAAGGCCTTTTATCACAGAAAACGAAATCAGCCCTCGACAACTTAACCAGCAGAAAAAGATTTTTTTGATAAAATCCCTAAGCCCCGGGGTCACAATTTCATCAAAAATCTGACTTTCGGCAATTCAATCAAAAATGGTGCCAAAGGGTTGCAAATGCTCCCTGAGAGGTTTGGCGGTCGAAACCGAAGGCTTTTGATCACATGAAAAGAAATCAGCCCTAGACAACTGAACCGGCAGAAAAAGATATTTTTGAAAAAATCCCTAAGCCCCGGGGTCACAATTTCATCAAAAATCTGACTTTCGGCAATTCACTCCAAAATGGTGCCAAAGGGTTGCAAATGCTCCCCTGAGAGGTTTGGCGGTCGAAACAGAAGGCTTTTTATCACAGGAATAGAAATCAGCCCTCGACAACTGAACCGGCAGAGAAAGATATTTTTGAAAATATCCCTAAGCCCCGGGGTCACAATTTCATCAAAAATCTGACTTTTGGCAATTCAATCAAAAATGGTGCCAAAGGGTGGCAAATGCTCCCCTGAGAGGTTTGGCGGACGAAACAGAAGGCTTTTTATCACAGGAAAAGAAATCAGCCCTCGACAACTGAACCTGCAGAATAAGATTTTTTTTGAAACAATACCTAAGCCCCGGAGTCACAATTTCAGCAAAAATCTGACTTTTGGCAATTCAATCAAAAATGGTGCCAAAGGATTGCAAATGCTCCCTTGAGAGGTTTGGCGGTCGAAACAGAAGGCCTTTTATCACAGAAATAGAAATCGGCCCTCGACAACTTAACCAGCAGAAAAGATTTTTTGCAAAAATCCCTAAGCCCCGTGGTCACAATTTCATCAAAAATTTGACTTTTGGCAATTCAATCAAAAATGGTGCCAAAGGGTGGCAAATGCTCCCCTGAGAGGTTTGGCGGTCGAAACAGAAGGCCTTTTATCACAGGAAAAGAAATCAGCCCTCGACAATTGAACCGGCAGAAAAAATTTTTTTTGAAAAAATCCCTAAGCCCCGGGGTCACAATTTCATCAAAAATCTGACTTTTGGCAATTCACTCAAAAATGGTCCCAAACGGTTGCAAATGCTCCCTGAGATGTTTGGTGGTCGAAAGAGAAAGCTTTTATCACAGAAAACGAAATCAGCCCTCGACAACTTAACCGGCAGAAAAGATTTTTTGAAAAAATACCTAAGCCCCGGGTCGCAATTTCATCAGAAATCTGACTTTCGGCAATTCAATCAAAATGGTGCCACAGGGTTGCAAATGCTCCCCTGAGAGGTTTGGCGGTCGAAACAGAAGGCTTTTATCACAGGAAAAGAAATCAGCCCTCGACAACTGAACCGGCAGAAAAAGATTTTTTGAAAAATCCCTAAGCCCCGGGTCACAATTTCAGCAAAAATCTGACATTTGGCAATTCACTCAAAAATGATGCCAAAGGGTTGCAAATGCTCCCCTGAGAGGTTTGGCGGTCGAAACAGAAGGCTTTTTATCACATGAAAAGAAATCAGCCCTAGACAACTGAACCGGCAGTTAAAGATTTTTTTGAAAAAATCCCTAAGCCCCGGGGTCACAATTTCAGCAAAAATCTGACTTTTGGCAATTCAATCAAAAATGGTGCCAAAGGGTTGCAAATGCTCCCCTGAGAGGTTTGGCGGTCGAAACAGAAGTCCTTTTATCACAGGAAAAGAAATCAGCCCTCGACAACTTAACCGGCAGAAAAAGATTTTTTTTGAAAAAATCCCTAAGCCCCGGGGTCACAATTTCATCAAAAATCTGACTTTTGGCAATTCAATCAAAAATGGTGCCAAAGGGTTGCAAATGCTCCCCTGAGAGGTTTGGCGGTCGAAACAGAAGGCCTTTTATCACAGGAAAAGAAATCAGCCCTAGACAACTGAACCGGCAGAAAAAGATTTTTTGAAAAATTCCTAAGCCCCGGGTCACAATTTCAGCAAAAATCTGACTTTCGGGAATTCACTCAAAAATGGTACCAAAGGGTTGCAAATGCTCCCTGAGATGTTTGGTGGTCGAAACAGAAGGCTTTTATCACAGTAAATGAAATCAGCCCTCGACAACTTAACCGGCAGAAAAAGATTTTTTTGAAAAAATACCTAAGCCCCGGGTTCGCAATTTCATCAGAAATCTGACTTTCGGCTATTCAATCAAAAATGGTGCCACGGGTTGCAAATGCTCCCCTGAGAGGTTTGGCGGTCGAAACAGAAGACTTTTTATCACAGGAAAAGAAATCACCCCTGGACAACTGAACCGGCAGAAAAAGGATTTTTTGAAAAAATCCCTAAGCCCCGGGTCGCAATTTCATCAAAAATCTGACTTTCGGCAATTCACTCAAAAATGGTACCAAAGGGTTGCAAATGCTCCCTGAGAGGTTTGGCAGTCGAAACAGAAGGCCTTTTATCACAGAAATAGAAATCAGCCCTCGACAACTGAACCAGCAGAAAAAGATTTTTATGAAAAAATCCCTAAGCCCCGGGTCACAATTTCAGCAAAAATCTGACTTTCGGGAATTCACTCAAAAATGGTGCCAAACGGTTGCAAATGCTCCCTGAGATGTTTGGTGGTCGAAAGAGAAAGCTTTTTATCACAGAAAACGAAATCAGCCCTCGACAACTTAACCAGCAGAAAAAGATTTTTTTGATAAAATCCCTAAGCCCCGGGGTCACAATTTCATCAAAAATCTGACTTTTGGCAATTCAATCAAAAATGGTGCCAAAGGGTGGCAAATGCTCCCCTGAGAGGTTTGGCGGTCGAAACAGAAGGCTTTTTATCACAGGAAAAGAAATCAGCCCTCGACAACTGAACCGGCAGAAAAAGATTTTTTTGAAAAAATCCCTAAGCCCCGGGGTCACAATTTCATCAAAAATCTGACTTTTGGCAATTCACTCAAAAATGGTCCCAAACGGTTGCAAATGCTCCCCTGAGATGTTTGGTGGTCGAAGAGAAAGCTTTTTATCACAGAAAACGAAATCAGCCCTCGACAACTTAACCAGCAGGAAAAGATTTTTTTGAAAAAATACCTAAGCCCCGGGGTCGCAATTTCATCAGAAATCTGACTTTCGGCAATTCAATCAAAAATGGTGCCACAGGGTTGCAAGTGCTCCCCTGAGAGGTTTGGCAGTCGAAACAGAAGGCTTTTATCACAGGAAAAGAAATCAGCCCTCGACAACTGAAGCGGCAGAAAAGATTTTTTGAAAAAATCCCTAAGCCCCGGGTCACAATTTCAGCAAAAATCTGACATTTGGCAATTCACTCAAAAATGATGCCAAAGGGTTGCAAATGCTCCCTGAGAGGTTTGGCGGTCGAAACAGAAGGCTTTTATCACATGAAAAGAAATCAGCCCTAGACAACTGAACCGGCAGAAAAGATTTTTTGAAAAAATCCCTAAGCCCCTGGGTCACAATTTCAGCAAAAATCTGACTTTTGGCAATTCAATCAAAAATGGTGCCAAAGGGTTGCAAATGCTCCCCTGAGAGGTTTGGCGGTCGAAACAGAAGTCCTTTTATCACAGGAAAAGAAATCAGCCCTCGACAAATTAACCGGCAGAAAAGATTTTTTGAAAAAATCCCTAAGCCCGGGTTCACAATTTCATCAAAAATCTGACTTTTGGCAATTCAATCAAA